TTTGCTATGGATAACCGGAGTTCTGTCTTGGGCGGCACAATAGCTCTCCACAGAGACTGCATAAGCAAGTGTTAAGTGTCATATAGTTATACGACGGAAGTCACTATAGGTCAGAAATCAATGCATGATTTCTTATTCCCAGAAAGGCTAGACCAGAGCACAGAGTGCTGTCCTCTGAAGATGCCGGCCACAGAGACTGGCGAAACGTTAGGAAGAACAACCTTCAGAACACGGACAAAGAGCCTGAAAAACCCACAACAACCACTAAACACTTTAGAAAAGGTGGGTTCTGGGCCAGGGAAGACTGCTTTAGAATAACCCCATTCAAACGATGGTCTCATCATGGTCTACTCTTTCAGGGTCTGAGGGCCTCACTACTGAGCCACTGTTTCTGTATCTAGAGTTATTTTCACTCTAGAGGTATGGAGTTGGTGGGCAGAAGTACATTTAGAAAATGTACACCAAAAATCATGTTCTTTCTCAGCTTCATAGCTTTTTCCTGTATCACTGGCTCTTAGTTGCAAACACCTACATGCAGGAACAGAGACAATATACCTCCCAAGACCAGCTACTGAGAAATACTGAGGCAGACTTTCTGCTGTCATGTCATGTGTGTGGCTTTCTATAGGTATCAGAACGGCCTATGTGGATAGAAAGATCATTCTTTCAATCCTGCTGGACTCATTGGATGTACACAGCCTCCTTAATCACTTCAGTGATGAAGAGACACAACTCATTCCTGTTCCTTGAGTAACTGGAAGTGAGGAGGTAGACTCAGAGGAAAAACAAGCCTTTTCTGGCCACAGTCTCTGGCCATATCACACTCAGTTAATGGACCCAAAGGGACTAAGATTGCTCCCCTACTGCTTCCTTCTCTCTCTCAGAGACTGTTTCTGCTACTCTCTGCACACCCTAGTTTGATAAAAGTCTTCTATTAATCATTAGCTTTCACTGCAGCACTGAGTAGTCATTGTTTTCTGGTACAACTCTATCCCCCCACCAGCTGAATTTACAATAAAAATGAATCATATATGTAATATATGCAGTAAAGAGTGAATCATATATGTGCATCAAAGACCTTTTTTTTTGTTGGAAGATTTATCAAAGCTAGGGAAAAAAAACCAACTAAACAAAAGCCCTTTGTCTGATGACACAAAAATTTGCTGATGGTGCTCTAGGCACTCTCAAAAATAGAGATGGGTGTGAATTTAGTTTATTTTTAAAATACACTAACTTGCCAAAATTCTGACAATTCTTCAGAAACGTGATGGTAAACACGTGGCATTTTGAAAAATTATATGTGATGAAAGCCAGTCCAGGTTCAGGGTTTTGAGGATTTAATTCTTAGAATTCTGGCTTTGAATTGTTGCATGTTAAACAAGTTTGTGGTACAAAAACAGGGTTGCCATCTCTCCCTCTCCCTCTTTCTTTGGTATGTTTCTAATCTACGCTACAGGCAGGTACAACATGATCCCCAGCATTCTGGGAATTTGATTGGTGCAGATGGATGAGAATGTTGTCTGATTCATTTTTGATAAGAACTTATTAAAATGTGCAAATTTCTTTGAATGTTCAGTTGACAGAATTTGAGATTTAAAAAAAAATAAAAATGTAGAGAAAGTGACACTAACTTCCTTTCTTGAAAGTTAAAACTACTGCAATACCGCCAATTATATTTCCTTCATGCTCCGCTCTAAATTTTGGAGTTAGGGAATTTGCTTTAGGACTAAAGATATGCTCCTCCACTTTTGTACAACTCTGTCGGGAACTAAAGTAGCAATAATTAACAGAATAATTTACAAATCTCAGTTTTTCTGAGTTTTCCATGGGAAAAAAATGTTTGACAAGGAGAGGAGCCAGAAGCTGAAAAGAGGAGGTGATAAATACTCTTATAAATTCTTCCAGTCTCAGCAATCAGGAGATTTCTTCTCATTGTAAGGGATTACTATCAATACAGGACCCAACTTCCAACTGATAGGGCCAGACCTACAATTAGACAGAATGAGGCAAGTGCCTCTGGCAAGAGATGCTGGGAGACAATCCATCAGGCTAGCACCAGGTCCAGTGCACTAGCAGTTTAATGATGCAAGAACAGAGTCCAGCACAATAGTCCATTGTACACCACCAAAGGCATCACGTGTTTGTTGTGGCATCAGCTGGCGACTCCAATATTGAGGTGCTGTGAATCCACTCCAGGATTATGCTTGTGTTTGTTGGAATTACAGGAGTTACTACTGTATTTGGGGGACAAGGTTCAACATCTTGTACAGTACAGACTAAAGCCCACAACAGAGTCTCAGCACCCCTGAAATCAGAGCTACCAGCCACCACTGCTTATGTTTTTTTCTTTGTACAATGGAGAAATGAAGCACACTTACGCTTATGAAGATTTTTGCTTGTATAGCATCACACTGGCTGATACCCTGTTGCTTGGCATAGTAAGTCACACTATAGTAGGGCCACTAGGTCAGTGAGGATTTGGTGAGTCAGTTCTATAAGTTCCATTGATTCAAATTGGCCTACTTGAGGAGGAGGCTCTTGAGAGCCCCCTGGACTGCAAGGAGAACAAACCTATCAATTCTAAAGGAAATAAACCCTGAGTGCTCACTGGAAGGACAGATCCTGAAGCTGAGGCTCCAGTACTTTGGCCATCTCATGAGAAGAGAAGACTCCCTGGAAAAGATCCTGATCTTAGGAAAGTGTGAAGGCAAGAGGAGAAGGGGACGACAGAGGATGAGATGGTTGGACAGTGTCATCGAAGCGACCGACATGAATTTGACCCAACTCTGGGAGGCAGTGGAAGACAGGAGGGCCTGGCATGCTCTGGTCCATGGGATCACGAAGAGTCGGACACAACTAAATGACTAAACAACAACAACCACAAGTTGTGGCTTACTAATTCAAGCCACTAGAACAGGCCCATTTGAATCAATGCAACCTACAGAGGAGTTGACTCACCAAATTCCCACTGATACAGTGGGTCGATTTGAAGTATGTTAAGCAACAGGATTCCAACTACTGGACTGAAGCTGCGGTTGCAACCTCTCTGCTATCCATTTGAATTTTCCAGGCATTCCCCTGTATTAGAGGATACAGAAGTATATGAACATGAACTGACTGAATAGCTCAGTGGTTTAGGTATCTGGCTGTAGAGACAGAGATTGGGAATTCCATTTCCCACTGTGCCTCCCAGGAAGAGTCAGCCTGTGTAATCATGGGGGAGCTGCACCCTAGGAGAAGGGAATGTCAAACCACTTCTGTGTATTCTCTACCTAGAAAACCCTGAAAAGGGTCACCGTAAATCAGAACCGACGATAGCATACAGTTATTATTACTGAAGTATATGCCAGCCTCCAAGATTACTACTTGGTGGTGTTTAAGAAAATGCCAGGTCTCTCAACTTCCAGTCCTTGCTGCCATTAAATTAGAAGGTGGCTCCATCTTGCCCTTTGCATTAGGTGGCAAATTACATACCTTGAGCAGGTTTGCCACAGAAGTAGCCAGCAAAAAAAACATGTTTTCTGGCATTTGAAAGGGTTAGGTTTGAGAGCTGCTGATTACAAACCTAAGGAGATCTAAGCTTCATCTATTCCACTGGTTCTTAACCTTGGGTTACTCAGGAGTTTTGGACTGCAGCTCCCAGAAGCCTTCCCCACCAGCTGTCCTGACTGGGGTTTCTGGGAGTTGCAGCTCAAAAGCATCCGAGTAACAAAGGTTAAGAACCACTGGTCTATTCCAAAAGGGAGGGACCACCCAGGAACATCAGGACAGCCTTCTTGAATGCTAGGATGGAAGAAAGGAAGGGAATCCATATGTAATTAATAAGTACATTAATTAATGGCGGCATAAGCTTCAGTGGACTAAAGTGCACATGATGAAGTGGACTAATCTGTACCATTTCATCCCACAGAGTTACTTTTTGGATGACAGCCTATCTGCTGACTTCTGGGAGTTGTAGTCCAACAAGTAACTTTTCCAAGTTCTAATAAAATGTCCTTAAACGTGACAAGGTACCTTGGGGTACTGTTGTCCAAAAAAGTAACTTTTCTAAGTTCTAACAGAAGTTTGCTGGAGGATGTCCTACAGCTCTTCGCTCTTTATTGCTGCTTTTCTTTCCAGCCTGATAGAGGAGATGCTAAAAACACAGGGGAAGTGTGTGAGAAACACCCGTGTACTCTTATCACGGGGCAAAGGTCTCTCTAGAAGAACTCCCTGCATTAATAAAGAGAGCCTTCAAAGCGGCGATCGCTGAGGGCGGGGTTGAAATTTCACCCCATAACCAAAATCAAAATAAACAAGCGCGCAAGATGCGCCGGTGTTTTCGCTCCAGGCTTTGGCACAAGA